TTATTAATCAGTCTATGTAGCATATTTTGGGTTGGGTTTAATTAACCGCCCAAAACTGCTCATCCTAATGTTTGGTTTTAGGTCTTGTGTGTCGATCTTGGCAGGTTCTGGTTTCTGTTCAGGTACAGGATCGGATGTGGGTGTTGCATCCTCAATGTCGACTTCTACTGGTTCCTCCGGAATGTTTGGACTCTTAATTTTCATTAAGTGTCGCCGGTTCCTTCTGTAGAGGGTACCATTATCAGCCTTTACTACATAAGACCTTGGCGTGTGGTGCTTAGTTACAACTGTAGCTGGTTCCCAAGGTGCTTCGGGTGTTTTCTTCATTCTGACTTCCTCATTCTCTTGCAGTGGTGGAAGCTGTGGTTGTGCATTGAGGTCATAGTATGCCTTCTGTCTGTGTTGTTGAGTTATTCTGTTGTCAATAAACTCCTTATGGTCCAGCGCAGATGGTTGTAGTTTCTTTGCTGCTGTTGGAACTGTAGATCTCAAGGTTCTACTCATAAGGGCTTGGGCTGGTGTGACTCCATTGATTGGTGTGTTCCTGTAGTGGAGTAGGGCTAGGTAGGGATCCTCGTTGCACTCTCTTGCCTTTTCGAGTAGTCGCTTCACAGTTTGTACTGTCTTCTCATGTAGTCCACCTGACTGGGGGTATCTAGGGCTAGTAGATGTGTGTATGAATCCATAGTTGTTTGCAAAGACTTTGAAGTCTTCTGAGGAGTATTGGGGACCGTTGTCTGACACAACCTCTTCAGGAATACCGTGTCTACTGAAAAAGGACTTCATTTTSTTGRTCACTGTTATTGATCTTTCATCCCTCAGTTCTGATACTTCTGGGTAGCGACTATAGTAGTCAACTACTACAAGGTGGGGTTTTCCTTWCCAGTTGAACAGGTCTGTTGCTACGCGCTGCCATGGCCGTTGTGGYAGCTCATGTGGGTGTAGAGGTTCTTTGGCATTGGCGTTGCGGTGTCTCAGACACGTCGGACATGAGGATATCATGTCTTCTATCTGGGTAGACATTCCCGGCCAGAAGATGCTTTGTCTTGCCAGTTGCTTAGTCTTCTYGATTCCCTGGTGGGACTGATGCAGCTTGTGGAGAGTRTCTTTTCTGAGTGTTGGTGGTATTAACACTGTATGTCCAGCGTAGACCAATCCTTCATTCTCGGTCAGTCTGTCGCGGTAAGCAAAATATTCTCTAGACACTAGTGGGACTGACGATCTATGTTCGGGCCAGCCGCTCCTGATCTGTTTGAACAGGGCTTGCATGGTGATGTCACGTTGAATGTGTTCCTTTATCTCTTGCAGCTTACGGTCAGTGACATACGCCTCACATGACATAAGATGTATGTACTTCTCGTCTTGAATTTCTCTTTCGAAATCCTCCGTGGTGACTTCCGGCGGAAATGCACGTGACAGTGCATCAGCAATGTACATTTCAGTTCCTTTTGTGTATTTKACATGGATGTCATAGGCTTGTAGCTGAAGTAGCATTTTCTGCAGAYGTGATGGAGCTTGGGATAGTGGTTTTTTGAAAATTGCTTYAAGTGGTTTGTGGTCTGTCTCCACGGTTACCGTCTTCCCGTAGATGTATTGATGGAAGCGTTTGCATCCAAAGACTATAGCAAACAGTTCTTTCTCGATCTGTGCATAGTTTTGTTGAGTCTCATTCAGCGCTTTTGAGGCATAGGCGACACTTGGGCTGGTGTGACTCCATTGATTGGATGCTCTGCAAATGTTGAGTGCCTTGTCTAAGCTCAGGTCTGCTTCGCGTAATAAGCGTTCCCTCAGGGATTGATCAGATATGCCGCACACAATCCGGTCGCGTATGAGTCCRTCTTTGAGATCTTTGAACTCACACAGTGAAGCAAGAGTCCTCAATACTGTCACGTATTGATCAATTGTCTCCCCTTGTTCTTGGTTTCTCGTGTTGAATTTGTGTCTTTCAAAAGTGATGTTCTTTCTCGGGYTACAGTAAGTCTTGAACGCCGTCTTGATATCCGCTGTAGTCCTGTTCCAAACTGTCTCGCCTTTGTCRTCAGTCGTCGTTTCGTCAGGAAGGTCCAGTGTCTTGTACACTTCTCGACCCTTCTCGCCAATGCAGAGCAGAAAATACGAGYATCGCTCCTCTTCGGATTTTCCTTTAAGTTCTGTTTTCTCGAATAGATTCCAGTGTTCTTCGAACTTTCRATAGTTCTCGCTGACGTTGCCTTCAAAAGACATTTCTCTGGGCGCTGCCCATTGTAGACTCGATGCCATTCTAACTGATACGAGTAATGGTTCGCTCATAGACCACGTTCTGACACCATGTTGTAGTCACTCAGATCGTGTAGAATCAAGATGTTTATTTCAAGCCACTGTTATAACTACTCAAGTACAATAAGTAGTGTCTATGATTATATAATGATAACATTGGGATCATATAACATTACGTCATATATTACAGT